GAGAGAGAGAGAGAGAGAGAGAGAGAGAGAGAGAGAGAGAGAGAGAGGAAGAAACATAAAATCATAAAAGACGCACAACATTCACTTACACTTTTATTAGAAAATACATGAAACACAAACTCGTATTATGGTTAATCCAATTTTTTTGTTCGACATGAATATCCCTCTCTCTCTCTCTCTCTCTCTCTCTCTCTCTCTCTCGCTTTTCTTCTCATCTACATACAAACCTAAATACTTTTTCACTCTCCAGGTGATAACCATTTTTTCCGCATCAAATTATTATGAGATTGGATCGAATAAGGGTGCCTACCTCAAATTGAATCCACAACTTGACACGCATTTCGTGCAGTACACGGCGGCCGCATCGAAAACGCGAAAATTAACATTTCGCCAAAAGGTGGGCCTGGTCGAAAGTTCAGCGATTCGAGAGTTGGGCGCCAAATTGCGTGAACATCGCGGTGATCTTGAACGAGAATTCAAAGCACGTGATCCGGATTTAAAAGGTAACCAAGACATGCACATAAACCGATTTGGTTATTATCTCTCGTTTTTTTTTTGTATTCCGTTCCATTTTTTTTCTTCGTTCATCAATCCACACGTTTATTTGTTCCCTTTCTTTGTGCTTTTACATTCTGTTGTTGTTATTGTTATGGATTCCTTGTCTCGTCGGGTTATTCTTGCATCAAATTTCATTTTGTGATTTTTGCTGATAGGAATTTTAACGATGTCGCGATGGTGTGAGGCGATGGAATCGGCTACACACTTGGGCTTACCATGGCGCTTGTTACGGGAAAAATTAGCACCGATGCAGCTCGGCTTCCCACCCCTCGATGTTCATTATAATCTAACATTAGAACTACTTGACACAGATCTCATCGTAAGCACAGCACTTTTGAAGTTTCTTTTGTTTGGGCTCTTTTCATTACTCTCTCCCCCTCTCTCGCTCTTCGTGTTCATTGATTTGAGAAAAGAAAAGGGAAAGAGAGATAGAGAGAGAGAGAGAAAAAGAAGCTTATCGATGCTATATCTCGTGTTTATACTTACCGATCAGTATGTCTCATAGAATATGAATGAGCTGAACTAATTTTTGTTGTTGTTTTTATTGTCTACGCCACTCAAACTCCCCCCCCCCCCCCTCTCTCTCTCTCTCTCTATTCCTCTAGAAAACAGCTCATGCAGGCTCAACAAGTGTTGCTGATTCGCTGTATCGGAACAAAAGCAGTTTGGAAATGATTTTCCGAATATTGGACAAAGATAATTCAGGTATGGTCAATATAGCGCTACAATTTTGCTATCGTTTACATGTAAACGGTATGGATTGCCAACGGTGATGATTTTGAAATGCTTTGAAAATGGAAAATGAACAAAAAACCCAAACAAACTCACAGAGACACACATAAAGTGCCCGACATCCGTTTTTGATATTGACAGATTCAATGGCTTTCGAAACATCGTTGATGGATTAGAAATTGTGTGCAATAGCAAAATCGGTCTACTCTCAGAACATCTCTCTCTCTCTCTCTCTCTCTCTATCTCGTCTCCCGTTTGTTGAATTAGACATTTGATTTGCCATCGTCAACTTTCATCAAAAGAAATTGGATCAAATACATTGGGCAACAGCAACAAATTGTGTTGAATTAGCATTTTTCTTGTTTGCTTTTTCTATGATTTATTTTTTGTGTGTGTGTTCGTGTTTTTTCCGCAATTTGTTCGATTTTTTGCACGGATAGACCGAGAGAAAAGAGCGATGGATTGAGGGGTGGCAGCCGTTTCTTTTTTGCCCGTTTATGTTTGCGATTACAATTTTTTTTTTTTCATTCGTTCGTTTGCTCTGTCTATTTCCCAAATTATTTCCAATCGATTAGGTTTCATCTCTTTGGATGAGTTTGCCGAGGCATGTGATTTGCTGCAAAAACATCTACCTGAACACGATACCAAAGAGGAGCTGATGGAAATGTGCAAATTGATGGACATCAATAAGGACAGTTTGGTTGATTTAAATGAATTCCTCGAAACGTTTCGGCTGTGCGAACAAGAGCGCGGCAACAGTTTTAAAAGTGAAGTATTGGCCGTACATTTTGATCTTCCGAATGATACAGCTGCATCGACGAAGAGTAGCGATGGGAAAAATGGCATTGCCAATGGCGAACCGGCAACCAACAACACCGGAAACACTGCAGAAAATTAATTCTCTCAACATTCACTTCATCTTATTCACTGTCTCTCGCTCTCATAAGACGTATCGCACAGCACAAATTAGATGCTTCAGTCGGGGGAAAAAAAAGAAGAAATGAAATGGGTGGGCGAGAGAAAAAAAAAACAGAAAACCCGTTCATTTTGATACTCAAACTGCAGGAATATTTCTACTCAAAATCGCACCAAATATCAACTGCAGGAATTACTTTTCGGAATTGCACGGGAGAAAAATGGTGATGCTATGCTTTTTCTCATTTCACGGTCTCTGCAAGCGGAACATAACACATTTTCTTTGCGTTCTTTCGACCATCCGTTTTCATCCCTCTCTTATGCAATCCAATTTTCATAAAACAAATCTTTTCCAATCGAAATGAGACACACTAAAAAAAACAGTTGAGTATTACGTTTCCGTTGTTAAACTTTGGAAATAAGGTCATGATGCTACTTTGAAATAATTGAAACACAAAAAACCCTTCAAGGAGGAGCTTTTATCTAATCAAAATATTTGCATTCAAAAAGAAGGAAAAAAATTACGAACGAAAAAAAAGAACAATTAAAATTAGTTTAAAATCTTACCATATTTTAATGTTGTTGGAAAAAATCTCTCTCCCCGGTGGGATCATGCTTCGCTAAAGGTGCTATCAACTGATGTGACTCTCGGCTATAATTGTCCACACTGCTTCATTAACATTGAGCGAGGAAGTGAGACTCATTTAAATAGAGCAAAAAGCAGGAGACTCATTTATAAGATGAATTTTTTGCATAAGAAAAGAATGAATAGAGCTAAGATAAGATGAGAGAAATGCCACCATTTTCACTTTTTTCTTTTTTCTCCTTTCTCTCAGTCGAATCGCAATTTTGATTCTTCTGAACAATACTCGATGGATTAACTTGCTTTAAAATTAACTCAATTCAGATATTCAATGAAACTGATCTATTCATTTGACGAAACAATAGATTTACACTTCTTGATATAGAAATACTTGTAGTGCTAAAAAAAACGGACGATGGAAATTCACCGTCATTCGATTCACGTTGCGTGATTCCATTGAGAAACTGTTTGCACGACATCATTATTATCAAAAACCTTATTACAATTAGATAAAAAAAAAATAGTGATTGTTTTCTCTCTATTCATTTGAATTTCTCGAAAGAAATAGAAACTAACGAATAGCTTTAATAAATCTGCTGATTAAATGCGATAGTTTGAAGAAGAAGAAGAAGAAGAAGAAGAAAGGAAGAAGAAAAACAATCGAAACAAAAAGTCAACATTTTAAAACGAAAGCAAAGATATTTAAACCAAACAAAATCTCTTATAATATATTATACACATTTAAAATCATGAATGGTAAAATTCTCTCCTAGTAAATCACGAAATCACTTTGTCGATGTAGCCGAATTCCACCCAATATTTTTAGATTGTAGGAAGCAAGCGTTTGCAAAAACCGGCACGATATTCAATTGCACTGCGTGTTTGCAAACGCCAAAGCATATGGACCAAAGACAAACTATTTTTCCTCCCAAACATAAATGTTAACGTTAAAATTTAAATTCTATTTACATTTTAAACGATTGCACAATCTTAATAAAATATATGTGAGGTTAAGCCAAGCAAAAACACAAAGATGAAAAGGACACATGCAAATCAAAAAAATATATATAAATTATCCAAACCAAATTTAAAACACACATACATACAGATCCAATCGAGATATTCACTAGATTCTAAGGTGTCGTCGTCACTTTTCAAATTTTATTGTAAATATTCCATGATTCGAAACCAAAAAAAAAAACCAACCGATGGATTCATGACCATTTACACACAACGCCACCACGAAAATTAACTATTCGAGCCGCATAGAATATGTTATCATATTTGGAATGTAAGATGCAATTTGCCGTGATATCATAGTACTTAGTATTTACTCTTTCTCGTCTGATTCCAAGATGGAAATCCTTTCGAATTAAGTATATTTAATAGATGTTATATTTTTTTTTTCTTCACGTTTTTTCTATTCATTTCAAACTAGCAAACTTTTCTAGCACATTCACACATAGATACACACACACACGCACGTACTTGATATGATTCTATTTCCAATTAACACTAATATAGAATGAGCTCTATGCCAAATTAATGAAAAATACGACGCATACAATGCACGAACAAACGATGCTGTTGGTGAATAGGAAGAGGTAGTACTTGAGGTAGTTTTAGTAAAGTTTGAAGACTCTCTCACTTTGTTACATAACTCATGGTTTTTTTTTCGACTGAGAGAAAAATGTTTTCTTCCTTTTTTGTGATTTATTTTTCCTTGAAATCACATTCTTTTCTGGGACTGGATTTTCTGGCTGAAAAAGCTTTTTTTTGGTTCGGTGAATATTCCGAATGTATTTCATTCACTCTCCTATTTTCTTCGAATTTTCAACATACTGAATGTTTCATATGAGAATCAGTTCTTGGGACAAGAAAATATGAAAAAAATGGGCTTGACCAAAGTAGGATATGGGGGAAACCTCTATCTATTTCATAAGGCGGAATTGAAATGTTGATTCCAGAATTCCCAAAATTGACCTTATCGACATGAACAAATTTCACTGGAATGCTTCAAATACCAAAACCGAATCCCTCTCAATGCTCACTTCACTGACTTTTCTTTTTGAATTTCTTGTTCTTTATCAAGAAGAAGACTAAGGTAGAAGGATTTTTATTTTACTTGATAAACCAAATACTATCACTAGCTGAAGCTCCGAACGCTTTTTCATCTATTTACAATCAATTTTTGAACTATTACTTACAATAAAAGTATATATGAGAGATGTGCTTAGAACTACATTTGGATGAGGATGGACATGAGGATGTTTGCACCGTGGAAAATTTACATTGTTCCAAACTCACATATACGTATAAAATACAAAATGACGCAAGTCTAAGAAGAATCTTATCTCACTCAAAATCATTAGTTAATTGAAAATACCAACGAATTCAAAAACAGAGGCGGATTCTAGCTTCGACCATTTTTGTCTTCAATTTTGAAGCGACAAAATATGCAGGAAATTCATGCGGCATAGTTAGACCTTGGTTTAAAACAATACCAGAGATGACTAAAGCGCACCCAAGTGCGCTAGAGCATTTGTGTTGTTTTTTTCTTCGTTCTACTTCTACCTTTTTGGCCAATAAAAATTTGTATCAATATTTTGTCTAACATAACGAAGAATTGCTTTTGAAAAACCACATTTACATTGGTGTATGTAAAGAAAAATCCTCAAAATTATCGATTGTGAAATTGAGCTAATATGCGCAATGACTAAGTGCGTAAGACCGCACAATGCGAATACCAGTTCTCATTTTAGGGCAGACAATGATAAAATTTTCCAATGATAAATTTTGCGAAATCTTGGCGCTGAATGCTGAACTATGATACTCCTATATAAATATACTGTCAACTATCAATGACAGCAACCAATGACAGCAACAATTGAACGTATTTGTATGGCAAAATACTTCCTACTTGCAGATGGCGCCAGACCAAACGTCATTCTAGTCATTTTTCTCATTGGGGCAGAAAACGTAAGCTATTCTTTGTTATGTTAGACAAAATATTGATAAAAAATGTTTTTGGCCAAAAAGGTAAAGTGGAACGAAGAAAAAAACAAAGAAAAAACAGCACAAGTGTTCGAGTGCGCTCTAGCGCACTCACGGCGATGAAGCTAACACGTATTTTCAACTTGGGTGCGCCTCAGTCATCTCTGTACAATACCGCCGAATTTTTTATATGTCACTTTGTTTTCAATTCTTTTTATTTCGATACGAATGCATGACACCGTTTGGAACAAACTGAATTTCACGGGTCACCAATGTGCATTCATTTATGAATCCAAAAGTGATATGCTTTTTTTCACACGTTTGAATGGTACGCTTTGAGCATTAAATTTGTAACAGACTGTGAGCAATTCACTGTTCAATTCAAAATGTTTGCAGCCAAAAAAATTTCTCGGATGTTTGCTACTGCATACAGTCGGTTAGAGATGAATGCATTTGCAATGAGATAGATAGAGAGAGAGAGAGAGAGAGAGAGAGAGAGCATATCAACCGAAGTGACTCTTGACACCAAAAACATGTGAATGCATTTCCGTGTCTCTTGGTAAACATTCCAAAATAGCTTTAAGCATATTTGGCCATGCAAAAACTAATAGCAAACAAAGAAAATACTCCAGTAGATGAACTAGAAAAAAAATCTAGTGATTTCTGCTATCGGTCTCATTCCGATCGTAAAATGAAGTGCAACCCATTATGACTAGTACAAACTAAAATTGTCAACAAAAATCCACTATTCATGACATTTTTTTTCTTACAATTTTTTATTAATCAATAAAACAAATATATACCGAATTTCTATTGGTAAGACCGAGAGTAGACCAAATTGTCGATTATTTTTACCAGAGGCTTTTTCTTCGTATTTTGAAACGAATATTTACTGCATGTTTATATGGGCTGGACGTGATGAAGGGCAGATTGTATATCCAAATCTCGGCGCCTCGCTATTAGACTAAACGATAAAGATACAGAGATGGATACTCAAACGTTGGAAAATGTGCCGAGGTGACTTTGTAAAATGAATCAGTCCATTGTAAAACGTTATTGAGATTCTGCACAGATAGAAAAAGTTCGATTTGTCCAAAGCTTGAAATACCGAACACAAATGTACATGCTTTGGTTTTATCAAATTGAACTGGTGTGTTTTCTGCAGCAATTTATTTTAACTTCTTTCTAAACCTGGCCTAAGACCCTCTCATTTCAATTAAACACTTTACCAATTAAATGATTTTGAGCTTAAATCGAGTGTGAAAACATGAGCGATTCGATTAATTGCTAAAGACTTTCGCGAATTCATTCGTGTGGAAAAAAGACGGAACAACTTATTTGAAAAGACAATGATCAAGAGATAAATGATGATGATAGAAATCCATGAGTATCAAAAGTTTATCAGTGCATAGATAACTTTTTTCTTTAATTTTATTTACTCCTCATTATTGTTTATTTACACTCGCGTTTGTTACTTATTGACTCTTTATTACTCAAAGAAAAAAATATTTTAATAACCCGCAACCGAAAGTTTTAAATACATTACGTACTTCATAATGTTTGTCCTAGTTTTTTTTTGCCCATACCCTCTATTTATTGCTATCGGATGCACGTGCAGATACGTTGCCGTTGCGCTGTGCTGCAATTGCATTCAGAATCGTCAGAATATGTTTTATTTGAATCAGTTTGCTGTGAATTTCGCTGTGTGAAATACGATGCAGAAAATACTTTATATTGCGTTAGTTTTACGGCTAAAGATTTATTTAAATATAAAACATACACAGGAAAAAGAACATATTTTCGAAATGTTACTCAAACTAATTTTAAAAAAATCATATTTCATCTAATTATTAAAAGAAATTTGCATCTCTTTTTCACACTTTTGAAAGTTGATATTTTTTCTTAAGTTTTTCACGTATTTTCCAACTTGTTGTGAGAAAAAAGGGCTTATCTTTCGGCCTTTTTCTGAAGGTATGCCTTTTTTACCGCGTGTTCTTCATTTCACTCAATATTGTTTTCCTAGGAAAGGTGCACCAAAAATGTCTAAAATATTTAGTACCGGTCATTCGAACCAACCGAATGAACAGAAAGAAATCACGGTTAATATTAGATCAAATGTAATTAAATCTATTGAAAGATGATATTTTTTTGTTCGAATATTCGTAGAGATTCTCTCGCTCTTTCTCTCTCTCTCTCTCTCTCTCACACACCAACAGTGGAAATATTTGCTGTACATATTTCCAATTTTATTGCTTTTTAGTAGAATTGTCTTGTTCCTAAAGTTTATCCATTTTTATACCTATTTCAATCGAATAAATTTCACACATACACACATAAGCTCTAACGAAAACCAAATAATGCAATGGCAATGTGAGTGGCGTGCGGTAAAAATTATTCCACGATAAACAAAACATGTTGTTGTGAACAGCAACAGCTTGAAAAGAAAACAGAACCAACAAGTTTTTAGATTAATTGTACAAATGCGCCACCGTCACACAATATGTATGAGTCGGTTTTGTTTCTTTTATTGATTTTTATTACAAAATGACCAATGGGCAATGTAAAATATGCCTAATAAGTTTTACACAAAAAACACGAAAAATAATCAACAACAACAACAACAACTACAACAACAGCTCTATGCCGACAGGAATTTAAATGAAGATAACATACAATTTATTGCTCTTTTATTATAAACTTTAGCTTATTTTTACTATTAGTCACAGTATCATCAAGCGTTCGAGATTTGACAACCATTTTTTTGGTGTGCATTTTCATGTCAATCGATTGATCACGGTAATAACATTATTAATATTATCAATATTGACCAAAAAATTGTTGAATTGAATCCATTGACGATTTTATTATTATCATCAGTAGGTAATTTTTGGAGTGTCTACGATTCGACAATGAAAACGTGCTTGAAAAAGGAAATCAAAACTCGAAACACTCATTTCCAATTTCAATAAATATTTCATAAAATGAAGAAAAAAAACGGTGTCTTTATTGCATTTTTCGCAGCATTTACGTTTCAAATCATGGTCCATGTCAACTCAATGCACTCTGCAATCAACATGGATCTGTCTTAACGGACGTAAAACTTCTCATCAATTTATCTATCGGTATAAATTGAGTGACGACTTTTGCAGTTTCAAAGTCTTAAATTTAACGCGTAACAGTTAACGCTTCACATAGCCTTTGTCCCTTTGTAAACGTTTACCAAAGGTTATCCTGGACCGTTTGCTATAGACTACTATCAAGCATTTCCATCTTAGTTGTATGACTGTTTTCGTTTTCATGTTCCTACTATTGTGATTACCTCATAATTTACGAAAAGAACCAGGCTTTTAACGAGACGAGAACTGAAAGTTATCGAAAGTTACCGCTACTATTGTTCATTATTTATAAAAATTGTAACAGTCTTGCACTCTTTTCCGGCCAAACCTCTAACAAAACCCACATTATATTCAGCCAGAGCTTGGCGGTGTTTAATAAAATAAAAAATAAAAAAAATTAAAATATTTTGGCCGTTTTATCGGAAATTTACATCCGATACTTGACATAAGTGTCAGAATTCAAGACTCTCAATATGTTTTGTGTATCGATAATATTTAGTTAGCTCCGGGTAAAAATAATTCAAACCCGATTTATTCTGGAACAGGTCAATACTTTGACCAAGCAATTTTATTACTTCAAGCGTTACGCTTTTCTTTGTATGTGCTCAACATTTTCGTTTCACTTTTTCCAACTTTCATGGATTCGGTTCTCTTTTTTTCAGTTTGAAATGTCTATCCAAGGTAAGTATTTAAGTAAGTAACCGGTTTCTATCACATCACAAACATAGGATGTGGTCCAAAGTACAAATTTATTTGGACCAGAAAAAAGGGAAAGAAAAGCTTTTATTCTTTTGATTGGGGTTTTGACAGGATTTATTTCCAAATTTCAACATTTATTGCCCCATTGAAATCAGGCGAGTCGCTTGAAGTTGCGACTAAAATTCTCTTTATAAAATGACCCACAAGTCACTCATATGATTCAAACAATCCGTCAAATAGTATATTGCACACCATTAAAGGTTCCGTATAAATATAAACTATGTAATTAAACCCCGTGTACTGACAATCTATAAAAACTTTTCTCGGATGGAAACTTTTCCACAGTTAACTCAATTAATTCGAACGAAACTTTTTGTTTGTATAAAACACGTTCATTTGGAGGGAGTGGGGTTGGTTGGTATGTAATGAGGGAAATGACTACAAAGTGCTCGTTACGAAGCATAACAATTTGATATGTACGAGTTCACAAACACTTTTCACGAAATTTATTAATTTACACATGAGAACGAACTAAATGAATGCACTGTAAAATGCTAAAGTACCCTAAAAATGTGAAATAGTTCCAAAGCTAGCAATAAAATTCAGGAATAGTGTCAAAGTTTTATCGCTGCTACATTCCACCGGCACTATCTACTCGCACTGACATCTACCCAGTTCGTATAACGAAGCAACTCTGACGCTATTTATTATCAAGAGTTCATTTTGAACGTGTTTTTTTTCGGTGTATAATAAAGTTTAGATTTTGGACGGTCACTTTGTAACCGTATAAAATTGGGATAATTGTTGGCTGTAATTTCAAATAAGCCACCGAAGAACAATAAAACTTGACTTTGTAAGTAATGACGTGTGAATGGGGGGTAGAACACAGCGTGTGAAAATCGGTTGAATCGCTGCAGTTACCATACTTTTCTACCGTAAACTCAAGCCATGCGAACACATTTGATACACTTTGTTTTATTCCACTGAAAATTTTCTTTTCACTGTCTCTTTGACAAGCGAATGTATATATAATATGGATTGACATTCAACTTGAAACAATGTAACTCTCTCAATAATTTCTTTCAATTTCATAAGTTTTTGATGTTCCAACTGCGTCAAAATTCTTTTCCCCAGTATGAGCTCATCAATAGAAAAAAATTTGAAGAAACTTTACACTTTTTGCAGACAAACAATAACACTAATCATTTGTGCAGTGCACACGTCACACAACACTTTTGTAACAATAGAACCATTTCTGATTGTTGGTTATGTCGATCCTTTTTTTTTCATCAAAAATTCTAAATTTCGTCATTGATTAAATACGAATGAGTATATTGTGTCGGACGCGATACATTTCGCACACATTATAGAATTTGTAAAAAGATTTGGTATGAAGCTTGCCCGCTTAACACATTTGTAGCATGATAATGATGTAGAATTTCCATAAAAAGTCCATTTCTTAAAAGAATAACTAATTTATTTCAAGTTTGGTATGTGTCAAATGCAGAAAAATGGATGAAAACGTGATCATAATTTCTTTCTAGTTACGTTTCAAATCATAGTCAATGTCAACTCAAGGCACTCTGCAATCAACATGGATCTGCCTTAACCGACGTAAAACTTCTCGTCAATTTATCTACCGGTATAAATTGAGTGACGACTTTTGCTGTCCAACAAATTATTTGTATCGGATGTCTGCGCGACCACAGAAAACGAAACAATCATTTTGGTCAAAACTGAAATTCTGTAAAAAAAAATTACAAATTGTTAATCAACTTTACCGCTCAAGGTCGACCATCGCATTTTTCGTTGTTTTAGACAAATTCGCTTTACATCTGCCGATGTGCGAATTTGAATCTTGTTTTTAGGCCTAAAGTAAAATTACTCGAAAGTTAGGTGCATTTTAAAAACAAAATATCAACTCAATGGGTTAAATTGGGTATGTGTTTTTTGGACAACTCTAACAAAAATTGTCCATGGGAAATTCTTTCAAATCACAACATAGACAATGTATATCAAGAATTTCTCTGGGCTAATAATGAAAAAATTGCGAAAAGTGTTATAGTTGCTCATGGGCGATATTTCGATAGAGATGCCCGATCCTCATGGACATCTATGACTTTGGTTTTAAAATAAACTCTCATCTTTAAATGTGGTTTGCTCAAATGTCTTACTTTTTTACGTCAAGTTTTTGTTCCACCTATGTTTCAGATGTAAATCCGGAGAAAGTACGATTTTCCACGAAAAAAATGTCAACTCCAAGAAATATTGTTTACTTACATCCAGCTGCCTAATGGACATCACAACCCTAAAAAAATTACAATGGTATCATATAAAATTTATTCTATTTGGATAGCCAAAAGTGCTCAATGCAAACGAGCCTTACATTGTTATTTGAATTTCAGTTGTTCAACCGATTTTTTTCCTTTTCGAATATTCAAAACCTCATGACATTCGATATTTAATGCCTCTAATCTCACTGAGCTCATCTGAGTCCGTATTTACAGAGTTTAGTTTTTGCCGAAACTTTCAAAGCTTATTTGCATCGAGCAAATTTTTTAGCGGGAACGATAATAAAAAGCGCTGAAAAATGTTCAAAGCTTTCGGAGAAAAGCGAAATAGTATTTCCCCTCATCGTAGAGTGTAACCATCGGGTTTTTCCCGTGCATGAAAAACGCAACGCTACACATCGCATGGAATTGCGTTATTCACATGCTCCATCGAAAAAGCTGTGTGCAAATAGGTAGCAAAACGAAAACACGCGTAGAAGCTTCACACTACGCAGGCATTGATATGATAAATGACGCGCACACTGTTGCTTCCCGTCTCAATGTGTTTTTGTACACACAACCACACTGACACGCGCTTTTCGTGTAAATGTGCGAGATATGCTGTTGCTGCTGCTGCTGCTGCTGCTGCTGGTTCAACTGGCACTTTATCAAAACACAACTGTTTGCCGACCATTCAGTATTCGTCGCGCGTTTAACTCAAACGGATGCACATAACGGTTCAATCATCTGTACATCAAATTATTTCTGCGCTTCTGGTTTTTTTTTGCTTGGATTCAGTTTGTATTGTATACAAAACTAAGACCAACAAAAAATCATCATATTAAGTATTATCGAATGAGAATAAAATCGAAAAAAAAATCGGAATCTCATGCCGTGAATTTGGAAAATAATATTTGAACGAATAAAACGGAAAATTAAATTATACCAAGTCCAGTTAAGTGATTGTTGGCTCTGTGTTTGGCTGCATAAATCCATCTGTAATAGTTGCAACAGTTGGAAAATAAAGTCAAAGTGTTTGAAAAATTGAAGGCGTTCTTGTTTCATTTTCTGCTGATCATTGCGGGAAAACGGTTTGAATTGTCAACGTGTCCATTTGCTGTTTTTTGTTTTTCAAATCATCCGTTTAGAATGGCAAAGAAATTTTTTCAAAGGACTGTCGGTTGTTATTATGTTTGCGCACAGAAAGTAAATTAAAAACGCTGGGAGAACTTTTGAGCAGAAAAAAAAACCGAGTATATTTCGAACAACAAGGACAACACACAGAATATCATTCGGTGGAACACATAAATACATTGAGTCAGCAAAATTTTATTTTGTCAGTCTCTAGTTCACCTTCAGTGTCGAAATCCCAGGTACAAACATTTCTACGTTAGTGTTAATTCAAAGATTTTTTTTTGTCGTTTCTATTTTTTGTTAGTCTATTTCGTTTGTTGGCATGGTGGAACATATTGAAGTACAAAATGACGTTAATTGCATATCTCTCGTTCAAATTGCGACATGGAATGATCTATGAGAGTTGTGTCGTTCACTTTCTGTTGGTGTTGTTTGTTATCACAATGCTTCGACCATTGAAAAATGATGCTGTTGCCTGTTTTCTTTACTCTCGTTGACAACGATTCGTTGTATAAAGTGATTTTTTTCTGGTGTGTGTGTGTGTGTGTGGCTGTGAGCGTTGGATTGAAATTGGACAATAAATTCGGACAATGAATTGGTCGCGACATTTGATCGGTTGATATGATAAGTCGTAATTGATTCAACTAACTTTTCAAAAAAGGTTAAATTCACTTTACACCAAAATTGCAACCGAATTTCATATTAAAGAAGAGGACAACGGCAATGACGATGATGATGATGATGGAGAAACCAAAATCGAGCACCTCATTTTCATTTATATTTCTGGCAACTAAGCGCAGCAGACGAATGTACACAGTGTGCCAGAGACTGGGTAATGTGTTGTCCTTTCTCAACTCCATCGAAATGCAAACATCGGTTAACAATCAACCGTAGAAAAAAGAAGTTGTAAAAAAAGAAAAATGTCTATTCTATCTACCACAATAATAATGATGGTACATCTTCAACAGTGGTTTGGATATCAGCATCTTTTTCTTTCTTCTTCTTTTCCAAAATCACGAGTCGTTTACACCTAACAAAAGCTGCGAAAAACAACAAAAAACACATGGGGTTTTGTGCGCCAAAACACAAAAGTTACATCTAAAATAGATGTTCACATTCAAAGTGAAAGTAAGAAAAGGGAGGAAAGAAGAACGGTTTGATTAGGGACACATCGCAGCGAGAGGAAGTGTAACAGCGATGAAAGCCAACGTGAACTGATGAAATGCAGGACGAGAGAAAACACACACACACACACACACCAACACCACCGTCAACTGCGTGTTACTTTGCATAAAACTTTTCTATTATCTTGTCATTTGCATATTTTTAAAAGTGAGAATAATGCAGAAGAAAGGAGTAAAATGGCAATAATCAAGCCATATGCAGAAAACGCATGAGAGGAACTCTCTCTGCTGATGACTGCTGCGCGCGCGGGTGTGTGTGTGTGTGCGATTTTTTTTTTCACACTTTGCTTATTCCTTGTGGCGGTGTACTTATCATATGGATTTTATTAGCATAAAAAATCTTGATGCTTGTTTAAGGATGTCAATGTCCCACTTGATGCTAATGTTCATTCATTTTGCGCTTCTTTCCTTCTGTTTTACTCTCACACTTGACTCACTCTTGTTCGTTATTTGATTCAAGGAAATTGTTTTGGTTTGTTTTTTTTTCGGTTTCGCGTCGTGAAGAAGCGAGTGTAAATTTTCGATGGTCCAGCAGAGAGAGAGAGAGAGAGATCGCGCGAGACAGAGAGAAAAAGAAATAGATAAAGAAAAAGAGCAAAGTCGAAATGAAGCGAGATCGAAGAGAGCCAACGAGAGGGTTGCTAGAAAGACACTGAGACAAGTGTGTCTCATGTAAAATCATTATTCGGGCTCACGTACAAGATAAAAAGCAAGTGAGTGAATGAGTGAGTGGTTGAGCCGCCATCGACATCGTCATCATCTTGAGAAAAGTACATGACGTGGAATACCTTATAGCGATGTGAAAGTGAGGCGGGCTGATGATCTGTTCGCATTTTTTGCTGGCGCTGCCGCTGCGGGAAAAATTAAGCATTTATTTAGACGATATCATTTTATACCTCAGTGGTTTGACTGACGTTTGCGTTGAAGGATGCCTCATGCTCATTTTGGCCCTATATTTCAGAAATAAAATCAACGGAAATTAAACCAATATTATGACTCTAACTTACCAAATGTGTTCCAAAACAGAGATGAAGATGCACATCAATTCCAGTTTAATTGGGCCAAGAATGCCTACACACAATCCATTGATGTGCATATAAATACAATTTTATTGTAGCGATAACAACAATCGAGAGTGCGTTGTGTAAAATGTCGCACGGCCCCTGACTGAAAGTCAATATTTTATTGGGAGAAAGAAAATAAAATATATTTTGTCAAATTGTTTTCCCTTTGAACGATTGAGGTTAAAATGGGGAGACAAACTTATTGGGTCAAACTCTTTTTTGTCGATTTTTATGAGTCACAAATCAGTTCGATCTAATGAAAAACATTTCCATTCGGAATAATTGAGCATTGACAGCCAGTTGAAATGTCACTGATCATTCCGATTTCATAATTAATTAACATCCCACACAAATTGATACGTGCACGTGGAACATATCCGATGCCAGTTTGTTTGAAATGACTGGCATATTTTCCGATTTCATTATGATAAACATACATACAAAACCATAATTGGCATTTATTCAGAGAAAAAGAGAGAGAAGAAAAACAAGACCGCAGAGCTTCGCTTCGCTCCGCTCTGCGTTCTTGAGTTTTTAGTTACTTAATCTATTTTGTTGTTTCACAACAAACTATTTTTTGGCGCACTACATGAAATGTATTTCATCAAAGTAACTTTGAAGTAATATATTTATTTGCAAAATGAATTACAAGATCTTGGTTTTATTTCTTTTTTGAAATATACTGCCTTTGGTTATTAAATAAAAAATATGAGCATTGAATCTAAAATCACTTTAATTCTGTACAAGACACAGAAAATATTATACGAAAAATTAATGTAATTTTTAAACAACATTTGATAATAAAAATTTGATTGGCGCTTTGAGATATTATGCACCTTTTTGTCGTTACTGCCACTGTTTTAAATTAAATAAAAAATATGAGCATAAAATTCAAATTCACCATAATTTGTTTCAACACTCAAAAAGTATCTAGACGAAAAAAAAAAGCAGATTAGTAGCTCTACATTTCATGTAGTGCTAAAAACGAGAGTATCATCATCATCGAGAAGAGCAACCATCACAAATAATAATAATAACAAGAATGGCATTGGGCGAAAATAAAGAGAATCCTAAAAATGGAAATAATCAAAATAAATAACCCATCGAAGTGTCTATTGGCACATAAATTTCCGTATCTTTATTACCATTCACTATGTGTACGTACATCGATGGCACACACACACACACACACAGATACACAAAAACACACTCACAATTGGTACTTCAATCGGAAGTGAAAGAAAGAGAGTAAAAAGAGAAGGGGATCGTTGTGCTTCATGCCGATTGATGACGATATCAATTTAATATCTATTAGTTTTGTGCCAGGGCAAGAACATTCATTTTTCGTGTGAGCACAGATAGATAGAGACAGACAGAGAGAGAGAGAGAGATGAGAACGTGCAGTTGTATGCTCAATATCAGAAGAGAAAATAAAATGGCAATTGGCATAAATCTTAAACTAGCCTCGGTTCTTATGTTTCACTTCTCATTTCGTCGCGCTTTCGGCATTTCGATTTTAGGCATTTTAAACCAAAACGTACGAAGACGAAAAAACAACAACAAAACAATGGTTTGAACCATTTTCAAACATAAAATGCACTTGATAACATTCCAAATTCTCCTAGCAATGCGAATAAGGGAACGAATCAAGCACATAAAATACTATCTTATTCATGAAAACACCGCCAATGGTTATCTTCGTCGACAAACAGTCAATGTTTACTGTTCACCACCTAAGGGAGAGACACAAAACTTAAAAGAGTAAAATTAGAACAATATTCAACGATAATAGGAAAAATAGAAGAAATTAGTGAGTTTGGTTTGCCAATGTTAACGCTTATGGACATATTGTTTATTGTTTACAAAATAGTCCCGTTATGTCTTTCATAAGCGTTGTATTGACAGTGTAATACGCTCTGCAAGAGATTTTACTAGAAATAATAGCACAATATTAGCACTTTTGCACCAAAACTAGATAAATAAGAGGACATAAAGCAAAAAATATATAAAATTGAGTGTAACTAGACTCTAATAGAATTCGTGTCTCGCCCCTAGTTCACCACACAATGGAATTTCGAAGTTCAACATATTACTTAAACATTTTCGCTCGTCTCTCTCTCTCTCCTTCTCCTTTTAAATTTTTGAAATTTCTAGCCTTTTCTCTCTTTCTTTTCGCTTCACCGCTCTCTTGTCCTTTCACTTTCTCTTTCTCTCTCTTTTTTTTCCAGTTCTATTCTTTTGTGCTCTTCCTCGATTCCATTTCGCTATCTCATACTTTTCCCATTTCTTCTCCAGCTTCTTTGTGCCGGAATTGCGACGACTTGAGTTCACTCATTTTATGACAGAATAATTTGTGTGTATCGTGATTTCCGTTTATATCTATAAAAAAAACAAAAGAAAACTGCATTCAAACAGAAAAGAATTGAACAATAGTAGATAACATTTGGTCCGGCGGAAATTTGTCTGTTCTATTGCTCTCAATAAAAGAACTTGAGGATCGAATAAAATGAAGCAATAAATTTCGTTCCACTGTAGACAAACCGTGGTTTTCTATAGCTGCATCCTTTTCTTTGGCAAACCAATGATAATCTCAATTTAGAGAGTCGGTTTGTGTAGAGTAGAATTCGTAAATAGATTCATTTAGTACTCAACGTCAAAATATTTACCGATTTTTTTTTCTTCAATTTTTGTTATGATATCCTTACTTTAAACAGTCTTTGTTCTGTCTCATTCTGTATCTCAAATGAAAAAGCTCTATTTTTCCATAGATTTTTCGTGGAAAAAGCGGATTTTCTGATGGAATTGAAAAAGAATATTCAAAGATACATACGATACGGAAGTTAAGTGAGATAAAGAAGCTCTCCATAGGGAGAGATTGTGAGAAAAAAATTTAATCGACGATGGAAACGTTTTGTTGGCTCTGTCAATGAAGTTCAACATGGCAAATCATGATGAAAGACACAACTGTTGATTGCTTTTATTGATTTAGTTTCCGTTTAGCGTATTCAAGTGTCGTGAACTTGGATGCTGTGCGCAAAACTAAGCAACAATAAATATAATGATTGTGCTTAACTGAAATATATCGAAAATTGACGCAACAAAAAGTTTATGTTTCTCTCTCTCTTTTACTTGTTGTTATTGTGTCAAACTGAAAGCCTACCATTTTGTTTACATGTTGCCAGTTCGTCAGCTTCCAGTTTTATTGTTCAAGTTTCACCATTTTCTTTTCTTATTTTTGTTGTTGAAGTGTTCCATTCAGTCGCAGATATTATTTTCACATTCGAGGGGACTGTGTCGATCATATTGTGATTAAGAGAGTGATTGTTACTCGGCACAAATGTGATTCATTTTTCTATGCTCGCATTGCATTGTTGCTGAGATTAAATTTACAGCAAGCTTGGGCAGGAAAAACTTTTTTCATGTCTCCTCGCTTATTTATGCAAATCACCGATATAATTTCTTTTTTAAATTTCAACAGCACGCAAATGATTCACGTCATTTGTTGCAGCACTTAAAGAATTGCAAAATGAAAAATATGTATAAATAACTACTAACTTTTGCACTTTAAATTTTTTTTTTCAGGGATTCGAATCAACTTTTTAATTTGAAAGGACGATTTGAAAGGTAAGCAATTTGTTTTCCCGTTTGTTCGTGTTGTTGTTGTTGTCATTAGACTATACTCAATGCCAGTTTTGGAATGCAACAAGCACGCATTTAGAACATTCACAAAGCAAGCGAAAAAAAAATCAACCTGCAAGCATACACACACAGATATTTGAAGCAGTGGGTGTGCAATGTGCATTGTACAATTTCAAAAGCTGATGAAAGGTACTCTATCTCTCATTGGTATGACGACATTATTGTGTAATGATGCTATGCACTCACACAGAACGGCACAAATACCATGGATAGTTTTATGCTTTTTTCGCTAGAACGACTGTTGTAATTGGCAACGTTTTCATATGCAATTCTGATTACATAAATAAACCACTTAAAATGAACGAACTCAGTATAAAGTTGACGTTTCAGTTGAGTTTTTGATATTTGTGATGCGGTCGAGTGATGCTATGTGTACAGTGCATTTCATAACTGGCAACGATTGGGTCACTTCCAATCAAGAACATTTGATACTAGGCGAAATTTATGGAATTTGAAAATGGTGGAAAATTTAATTAATGATGGAATTGTGAAACACTTTTGATGAACTGAACTAAAGAAAAATAAATATTTGTCATTATTTCGACGAACATTCATGAAGTGGCCGAACTCATAATTTGAACCGTTGTCTGAAATTCTGTTTTATCTCTTTTTTCCTCCGAGGAAATTCGAAATAAAATGGTTCGAAAACAAAGTCAAAATACCAAAAATCAAAAAGAAGAAAATCGCTTGAAATCCCGTTGAATCAAATGAATTGTCGACGAATAATGTATCGTCAGATGTGTCTCTCGCCAAAACTCCGTTTGTTTGTTGTCAGTGGGACGAAAATGTTGCTGTTGTTGTTGTTGTTGATTTTAGCGTGTACATCAATGTGTCATGCAATCATTTCTACGCGATTGTTGACAGGAGCGTTGAGCGGTAAGCGTATTACATTTGTCGCTTCCAGCGAAGATATTAATCCAATTTTGTTTGTAAGTGGACCGTCTCTCCTATTTTGGCTCTCCTTCGTCTCTATCTCTTTCGCAAAAAAGCTTTAATTGAAATGCTTCAAGCGACTGGCATATTGTCAAATGTAGGGTAAAAATAAATATTCACTGGAAATTACGGCAACCAACAATCCGATGGCCTGCTATTTCATGAGATTCCCATGCAAAATCGGTGCTTTATGACTTCTACCAAGAAAATTCATTGCAAAATGATTGGCGTGTGTATGTATATGTGCGACCGTGTTCACCTATGTTGTGAAATCAGGCGCTCGCGCGCATCTAACTGTTTTAAACGGGATCATCACGTAGAATGCCACGTGAAATATACGGGCACAACTGCGCATTCCACAACAACAGCGGCAGATTCAAACAAATGAAAAACCGAAAGGGATTGAAACGAAGCAACGTAATATATTAAGAAAATTTATAACCACCGTAGCAAAATCGAGCGGTTATAGTATGGCTGGAATAGGGAGCAAGTATACAACAAACACACAAACAAAAACAGCGTAAAATATTTCAGAATTTTATTGCTGCGAAGAGTGAGCACGGCAAAAGCAGTCAGGCAAAAGCCAAAAAGTGGGATGAAGAGGCAAAAAAAAAATCCGAAAACGAACAGAACAGAATAAAATGCTGTTGAAAGTTGCGAAGTGGAATGACACTCATTGTTGTTTGCAACGAATATATTGTTTAGCTTCAGCTTTCCGTCTCTTTCTCTTTCTCACGTGGTATGCAATGAAGTGGAGCCGAGAGAGAGAGAGAGAGAGAGAGAGAGAGAGAGAGAGAGAACCGAGCAAAGCGAGAAAGCAAAAGACCCAAAGCGTGCACTAAAGCGAAAGAGTGCGAAAAAAACGAGAACAGAAAAGAAATGAGCCAACGCATTGAGACTGGCTGACTTCAACTTTTGCCATGTCGCAACAAAGTACGATCGTGGCAGTAAGCTGTGTAATCGTGCCGTAAAAAAGAATGACGAACACAGATGGAGAAAGAGAGAACCGAACACATACTCCCAATTGAGCGTACAAAAGAACAAACACACTCAGTTTTCTATGAAAATTGAACTCATACATTGTCGTCGTCGGCGGCACTATTGTTGCTGCTGCTGCCGTATAGTTTTATGGTGGAGCTCATGTAAATCTTTATCTCGTTTTTTCTTCTGTTTCTATCGTTTCGTTAGATATATACACGCATTGTGTCCATTTGGCCCAGAAGAGACTCAAACTTATCCAGTTTTAGCAATAATATTCCATTTAAAATACCAATTGACAATGACAAGCGTTTCAATATTCGTTCTCTGTGTACTCTTGTTTACTGATATACATGCGACTTCGTTTTTCTTAAATACTTTTACATTTACATCGTACAAATAAAGTCTTTCGAACAAACGAACGAATCAATTCTGTTCTGTTCTTTTTTCGGTATCAAAAGAGGAGAGAGAAAAAACCGTAATTTTTCCATCCATAAAACGATTATTGTACTGCTCTGCTAACGAGCAGATAACAATTTCTTTTCAATAAAATGACATAACATAAAAACATTTCAAGTAGTTATAAAATTCGATAAACTCCAGGCTAATGATTACCTTATCATTCCGGAGCGACGTATAAATCGAAATAGCCCTTTGAGATATATTCCTCTCTACTTGATGTCTACTTGTCTCTCTCACTCACTCTTGCTCTCGTTGCACGTCTATCTATTGGACAAAGAGCTTAAGCGCAATCGACGAAATTTTACGGTGGTTAGTCCATCCACCGCATCGCACATATTTATCTCGTTTTACTTCACAACATTCGACCACCGAAAAGCAACCACAAAGGACAGAAAGAGAAAGTGAGGAAAAACCATGGCATTTTTATAGAACGAGACTGTAACAAGCAACAGATTTACGAAACAGAAGCAAACAAATTTATAGCAATCAGAAAATCTGTTGGCATCGTGCAGACAATTTAAAAATATTTTCAAAAAGTTTCATCGTTGAATTTGGCATTGTTTGTGTGTGTACGCTTTTGTATGATGTCGGCACTCTTTCTCTCACTCTTTTTGTCTCTTTTCGCGCTCTTACTCTTGTTTCAGCGAGAAATAATTGTGCACGAGTGGACTAACCCCGGCCGATATTTTCTATTCTCAATCTTTTTTCGTTCGCTCTAAGCTCATTCGCCTTTCGTTGTTCTTCGCGCGAGAAGACCGAGCTATTTGATGTTTATATTAAGGCTTGTGTTTGCTTTCAGAGTTCTTTTTTCTCTGTTGTGTTCGTCGATGCTGTGATGCTGGTACTACTGCTGCTGCTGTTGCCGTTGTTTTGTTCGTCTCCAATGACTTTGACTCACGCGCGAAGTATACTCTCTCGTTGCCGTGAAAATGAAATACTTTTCACGACCTAATTTTCATGTGAACCAATAAAATTTGCGCTGTTTATTCGGTCGCTGGAGTTTTTTTTGAATCTTTTTTATTTAGCTGCAAGAAATCTCTGTTTTTTCTTCGGCACTTTTTCCTTTTTTTCTCGTTGCTGCTTATAACCAGAGATTGCATATTTGCTGCTGAGTAGGCCTGAGCTGAGCTGAATTTGCTAACTCAGGCGCCTGAAGCGTTATTTTAACGCATTCACAGTACAAAATTCATATTCCCAGCCAGATCAGCCTCCAATTTGACTTGGCAAATCTGGCTGGGAATATGAATTTTGTACTGTGAATGCGTTAAAATAAC